TCAGAAAGCATAGATGGGAAACAATCCCATCAAGGTAGAAAGATCTGTTGGATCACGAGGTTTTAATAGGAACAGTACTAAAGTCTGTCTGCAATCAAGTCACAGCTCTGTCCTGCTTCCATGTTGTATGGCCTTGGCCAGTTATTTCATCTCTCTAAGTCTAAACTTTCTCCTCAGTAAAAGGAATATAATCATGTCTGGCTTCTTTGTTTCTTGTGAGGATTAAATGAAATTGTATTGATCACATGCTTATTAACACATTGCCTGTGACATAAATAAACATCCAAGACCTGAAAGCCTTTTCTCTCCCCAGTGTTTAGTAATTCTCCTTTTCTTCTTCTTTTTGAAAACTGGGACCACTGTGTTTGTTAGCTTAAAGCTAATAACTACAAGATATAGTTGGCTCAATTGCTAACCAGAAACCCAGAAGGCAATCTCATGGGCTACACAAAAACCCCAGTTTGTCATCCAGTTACTTTTTTCTTTTTAATATGCTGTCCCTGAGAAACATGATAGAATTTGTTTTTCTTCTCTTCTGTCAGGAAGTAACCCTTCTGGCTTTGTTAGAAGCTTGGTTTGTAATAATTGTACCCACCCCAGATGGCTCCTGAAAACCCTTTGAAATGCCATCTGCCAGGCGTGTGTCCAGCCGGCAGCCTGTTATTCTGCTACAAGAAAAGAGGAGGCGGGGCCCCCTCCCTAGGTCCTTTCTCCACCACATCTCTGAATGGTGCCTGGGCAGACTTGCTCAGACCCAGGCTGGCTGTCCCAAGGATAACCCAGGAGCACACCTCCTGTCTGCCTGCAGCATGGGAATATTCTGTCTGGGCAATAAACCCTGAAGTTCTGGTGAGTGGGGATTGCCAATTAACCTACCCACCTTCCCCTGCAGCTCACGAGTCTGAAAACCTGTGTGTTTCTGTAGGAAAATGGTATCTTGTTAGTTTCGTTTGTATTGTAAGATGCAGCATTGTTGAAGTTCATGATTATTTCGATTGTTTGAGAAAATAAGATTCCCAGGGGTGACTGTTGTCTTTAAAGCGAGTCTTACAAATTGGAGATCTGAACACATGGATGAAAAGAAATGGCGGAGATAAGATGGCTACAGGAAACGGGGCAAAAAGAGCCACCAATATGTTTTGTTTTGGGAAGGCTTTAAAAACTCAACAGAGCTGTGTTTGGTTTTATTTTATCCACATCTTTTTTTGAATGGATTAAGCTGATGGAATTTTGTTTGGAAGCCTCAGTATGAGAGTTGCCATATAGAGCATATTTAGGACAGATCCATTCACAACAAGTTTCAAAAAGATTCTATTCTGGCCCTGCAATGGAATTTCTCAGTGTGGTGTAGATTGTTTGTGTTTTACAAGTGCCGGACTGAGCAGCTTGTTCTGCTTGGCTCCAAGATACCCCCCCACCGCTGCTTTCCTCACTCTTGCCTCACTGGTACTGCTTCTTAGTCTTCTCTGAGAATCCTGCTCCTTTCCCCAACTTATACAAGTTAGAAAGTCTTAAGTTTCCATCCAAACATCTTGACTTGTTTTTCCTATTTCTTTCCTTAGGATTTTCTCTTTCTGTTTCTTGCCTTCAAATGCTAAAGATTTGCTGAGAACTAGTCACTTTCAACTTTCTGTTCCAATCTTCACTTTGACCTTTGGACTTCCAAGGTCAACTGTTCTTCAGTTCTTTGTGCTGAGATATACCTGGGCATCTTGAAGTCTTTTCTCCCTATGAGATGCATTTCCCCCAATCCTCTCAGTCTGTAAATAGCCCAGCCTTTTTGCCCAGGACACACAAAAGTGTCAGTCTTAATAATTCTGTCTTACATGGTATTGCTAATGCAAAGGCCAATTCTTTTAGTTGCTTTCAAAATATAGACCTGTTATAAAGTACTGAATTTATACATGTTTGTCCAATGGTTTACCTTCCAGCTGGTTAACATAGTCACATTTTGAAGTGGGTGTTAAATCTAGCAACTAAGATGCCCATACCCCATAGCAGAACACTTTGGTTTGATACCTGGCTCTGGCTTCTGACTCCAGCTTTCTGCCAATGGAGACCTGGAGATGCAACAGTTGATGGTGCCAGTAGTTGGGTCACTGCCATACACATAGGAGGCCTGGATTGATTTCCTGACTCTTAACTTCATCCTTTGTAGGCATTGGGAGAGTGAGCCAGGAGTTGGCAGCTATGTTCCCTGTATGTGCCTCTCTGCCCATCTCTTGTCTCTCTCTCTCAAATTTTCCTGATATATGCCTGTTGGCTTCTTATTACCCCTTAACCAGACCCAGTCATCTATCATCTGGACACTCCTCTGTCTTCCTGTGTGTCTTCCTGTGTGTGTTCTTGCATACCTCTCTCAGTAAAGTCAGAGGTCTTTTGGAAATGAATAAGGAATCAAGGTACCATCTTTTCTCAAAGCCCTCTAGTGAGCTATCACCCTTAGGATAAAATAGGGCATGTTTTCTCTGGATTCCATCATGTAGCTAAAAAACAAGGGCCTCTTTGCTTATTACAAGTATGCCACCCCTTTGTCCAGAGTGCCTGGTTTACCCCGCGCCACAGCCTTTGGCCATTTCATGTGCCTGGGGTGCTCTCCTGTGACCTCAGCCCTTCCAGGCCTTTCTTGATCACTTCCCCAAAACTTCCCTGTCGCTCTGAGACCCTGTCCCTACCCTTTACTCTGCATCACTCTGAGATGCTTTCTCTTCTTTCCACTCACAGGAGATTGACTTACACCTGAAATTGTATGTGATATTTATTCACATTTACAATTCCATTATGCCTCTCAGAACAAATAATTGTGATGCCCAGCAGGCAGAATGTATTGATACGTATTGAGGTATTAAGTATTAAATAAATGAATGCATCTTTCTTTCTCTTACATGCACACATGTATGGTCTTCAAAAATTTTATGGAAAATGCAAATTCCAAAAAAACTAAGCATGCATTGAAAAGTTTTTGAACAGCAAAGTTAATCTTCCAATGCCATTTTCATGAACTTTGTGAAGCTAACTTGTCTATATTCATATATGTAATATGAGATTATTATAGTAAGATTGCAACTCTGAGATTCAAGTGGGGCCAGCATTGTGGATTAAGCCATAGCCTAAGAAACCAGTATCCCATGTGGGCAGTAATTTGAATGCCAGCTGCTTTGCTTCTCAATCCAGCTCCTTTCTAATGCTTCAGAGAAGGTCCCTGAAAACTGAGTGAGAGACCTGGATGCAGCCACTTGTAGCATGAACCAGTGGGTAGAGCATTGATTGCTCTTTCTCTTCTCTCCTGCTGCAGCTGCTTTTTGGATAAATTAAATAAATATTTAAAAGATTTAGCAAGAAATTTTCTTACATGGTATCATAAATTGCACTATATTACTGACACTGATAGGGAACACCCTTCGGATTCATGGTCTCATATACTACTCAGAATAAACTTACTGTAGAGATGCTATCATTATCCCTGTTTAGTAGACACGGATACTGAGGAATAGTCAAAGCTAAAGAGCAAACCAGGGCCTCTGATTAGACCATGATTCCCAATGTAGACACCTGCTGTGCAACAGTCTGTGGTCCTGTCTTAGTATTTATAAGCATGTATGGTTTGCCTTGTATTTAAATTACAAGTTTACAAGTTGTGAAGGACTTCAGGGACTTATCTGACAGGGGAGCCAAAAATAAGTGGGAAACAGCAGAGTTTTATACATTCCATTAGCTGACTGTTTTACCCAGGAAGCCCCAGCTTGCTGAGTGTAGGAAGTAGAGAGTACATTGTTTTGTAGATGATTTGGAGTTATTGAAGGTGCTCAGACTTAAGGTGCTTGTAACATTGGATGCATTTAGGCTGAATGAAGTATGTAACAGGTGTCTAATACGGGAATCCAGTGAAGGTATGTGACGTGGTTAGTTGTGTATGCAGTGATCAGGGACCTCACGGTGGTAGTAACTGGAGAACTGCCAGATACATACGGTTGTTTCATTGCTTTTAAAGTTTAGCATAGAGATTCCAGCCATAGGGAAAGAGCCTTGCATATCATATGGGCAATCATTGGCTTTATATCACCACCGTAGTTCATGATGCCTTGTAAACTGCAGTATGTTGATCGTATCACTAATTTGAATGTTTTAATTAGCTAAATTGTTAGTCCTTTTTTGATCTGCTCTTCTACCTAACCTAGGTTTCTAATACATACTGCATCATTTCTTCCCTGGTTTCTTTCAACTGGTTTACTGCTCAATACTGCTATGCTTATGGTTGTAACAGGGCTCCTCTAGGCCTAGGATCTATATGAATTTTGTTTCATAAGAACTGTTACGTTTATTAGCCATTGACAAGATGACCAGATGAATTCAAGGGGATGGTTTTCTGCCAAATGTGATGACCTCTGTACTCAGAACCCATGGGTGGCCTTCACCTCCTCTCCATCCCACTTCCCAACTATGTTAATTACATAGAGAGCAGTGGCATTTTAATCCCTGGGAGATGTCCAACCACAGATCTTGGGCAATCCCATTTCTCTAGTGATGTATTTACGCAGTGGGTGTCATTTTCTTCAAAGGGCTTATTACATCGCAACTTGCCCAATGCATTGAGGAACACAGGACTTTGAGGCCTGTGATGAAAATATAAACCCCTTAGGTTCTGAACTTAACTTAGATAGCTTTTTAGTATTTATTAGCGCCTTTAAAAATCTGCTGATTGTGAATGTTGTCTGTGGAAAATCCAGGTCACCCTTTTCAGTTGATTGCATTTTTAAAAGTGGTAAAATGCTCTCTGGATTAATCAAGCTGTGCTAGGATCTCTTTCTCAAACTTGGTGCGCATGCTGTGCTGGCACAGAGAGGTTGGCTTACCAGGTTGGTCCCCATCTGAACAGATAAAGTCAGCAGACTCTTCAGTAGACCAGCTTACTGAACAGGTTATTTTAATTACAGCTGGATGGGGAACTTGCTGGGCGATTCAGCCAATGTTTTCTCATGCCTTGGTTTTCCCTCCTGCAGGCACGACCCGTTCTCCAAGAGAAGGGGAGGTACCTGGTGTGGACTATAACTTTCTGACTGTGAAGGAATTCTTGGACCTGGAGCAGAGTGGAACGCTTCTGGAAGTTGGCACCTATGAAGGTGAGCTTGTCTGCCCAGCGGCAGTGGGGGTGCTTTTCTCCTGGGTGTTTCACAGGATCCATGGACAATGGAAGTAAAAAGAAGTAGAGATTGCAGTTCCCTTAATGTGATGAATCATAAAATGAAACTTGGTGAGGCCCTTTAAAATTATTTTTGTTTTTCACCAAGAGTTTTCCTTTTTTTTTTTTTTTTCCAAATTACTCTGTGAGTTGACAATGGAACCCATGTCATTTTAAAAGGAAGAGGAGCTGGTCAATCCCAAATGTGGTCTCTTAGTGTACCCTTTAAGGAATGGTGTATCATTCCTACCACAAACTGGTGCTCATGTGGTTTTTGAGCAGAAAATGTATTTATGCAGTTTATAAAACAAATATTTCAAAAGTATTTAGTAAGTCCTCTTTCATATTCTTATCTCCCATCTGCCCAGCTTCTGTTTCAGTAGCGCAGTACTTTTGATCATTGGTTCTTTCCATTGCTCTTCTGAAGTATATTTTCCTGAATACAGACAAGTGCATTTCATATGCTCTCTCACTGTTTTATAGAAAAGGAAGAATATCATAGTTCAGCATTTGGTGCCTTGCTCTTTTCATTTGACACTGTGTCTCAATAGATTTTTGTAATTCCATAGTGCAATGCTTTTTTGTTTTCTTCTTTTTTAATGACTGCAATTTCTGTGCATGAACATACCATAATTTATTTAATCAGTTCTCTGACTAAGCACTTGGGTCATGCTCAGCCTTAATATTTTGAGACATGCTGTGTTTTACTACTCTAGGCCTATTTCATTTCATGTGAGAGAATGCATGTAATGGGCAAGAACCCACAAATAGCATTGCTAGGTCAAAGTCAAACTGGGTTGGAGGGTTAGAGGAGAGAAAAGCTTCTTTTTCTTTTCCATTTTAAAAACATTTATTTATTTATTGTTGGAAAGTCAGATGTACAGAGAGAAGGAGAGACAGAGAGGAAGATTATCCATCTGCTGATTCACTCCCCAAGTGGCTACAATGGCTTGAGCTGAGCCGATCCCAAGGCTTTGGGCCATCCTGTACTGCTTTCCCAGGCCACAGGCAGGGAGCTGGATGGGAAGTAGGGCTACTGGGATTAGAACCTGTGTCTTTAAGGGACCCGGCCACATGCAAGGTGAGGAGTTTAGCCACTAGCTACCACACTGGGTCCCTATCACTTCATTTTCTTTTGAGAACTTTGTTGAATTTTTTTTTAAATATTTCTTTATTTTTATTGGAAAGTCAGATATACAGAGAGAACGAGAGACAGAGAGGAAGATCTTCCATCCACTGATTCACTCCCCAAGTAGCAGCAATGACTGGAGCTGAGCCCATCTGAAGCCAGGAGCCACCTCCAGGTTTGCTATATGGGTGCAGGGTCCCAAGGTTTTGGGTCATCCTTGATTGCTTTCCTAGGCCATAGGCAGGGAAATGAATGGGAAGTGGTACCACCAGAACACAAACCGGCATTCATATGGGATCCCAGCGCATGCAAGGCAAGGACTTTAACCACTAGGCTACCACCCAGGCCCTGTTTAATTTTTTAAGCTATTTTTCAATAGGCAGATAATTACATAAGTTATTTTAATATTCTTAAATTGGCATGTAGTAATTGTCCACTTGTGTGTTATTTTATTACATGTGAATTTATCATATCCTGATAATTGCCATATCCATCATCTCAAACGTTTACCATTTCTTTGAAGTGGAAACATTAAAAATCCTAAATACTAGCTACTTTGAACTGCACGATTATTTGCCTTACAGTTTTCTGTGTTATAGACTATTAGAATTTTCCTTCTTATCCACCTGCACCTCTGTATCCACATACAACCTTCTCTCCATGCTTCCCTGGTAGTCACTATACGATGCTCTATTTCCATGAGATCAACCCTTTAGTTTTCATATCTACATGACGATATGTGTGTATTTATCGTTCTTCGCTCTGGATTGTTTTTATATGACATTCTTATCCGTGTTCCCATATGTGATGGATATCATTCTCGTCATGACTAATTAGTATTCTATTGTGTTTCTTTTTATGGCCACATAACATTACATTATGTATATTTACCATATTTTCTTTACCTAGAGGATGGAGAGTTAGGCTGGTTACATATCTTAGCTGTTTTGAATAGTGCTACCATGAACAAAGCAACGTGGATGATACTTCAAATTACTAATCTCATTTTTGGCATGATCAGATCATATGGTGGTTCTGTTTCTCCTTTTATGAGACACTTCCATGCTGTTTTCCATAAAGGCTATATTAATTTATATTCTAATCAATAATATAGAATAGTTCTCCCTTCTCCACATCCCCTCCAACATTTGGCTGTGTGTGTGTGTATTGGTCTTTGTGTTAATAACCATTGTAACTTATATGAAATCATAGCTAATTCTGACTTCTATTTTAGTTTCCCTATGATTAATGAGTTGAGCACTTTTTCGCCATTTATAAATCTTCAAAGAAGTCACACATACAGACACACACACACACACACACACATACATGATGTATTTATTTATTTGAAAATCAGTGTGAGAAACACAGATCTATCATCGGCCAGTTCAGTCCCTAGGTGGTTGCAGCAGTCCAGGAGGGCCCAGGGCAAAGTCAAGAACCAGGATCTTCCTTCAGGTCTCCCATGTGAGTAGCAGGAGACCATGGTAATAGCTTTTTTATTATGTTGGTTTTTGATAAAAGTTGCATGGGAAGCTATTAAGTAGTGAAATTAATTTGAATATAATTATAATATAGCTATTTGTAAACCTAGTATTTGGATTTATTGATGGGACATTTTAAATACTAGACTTAAGAACAAATGGTAAATCCCAAGTACACTGTTACATTGTTACATTGTTAGGGAGACTGTAGCTTTGATGTGATGATAGTAGCTCCTGTTACAGAAAGTGTCTGTCAGGCAAGTATGAGCATATTATCTTAGGGGTATAGTTTTTGGTTTGATATTTTCTGAAATATCATTTCTAAGTTGTGCATGTGCAATTATATGGTGTCCTGGTTTTCTTCGACTTCCACATTGTGAACTCAGGAGTATTTTCTCTGGAGTGTTGTTGCTGCTTGTCACTTGGCTGAGTTTCCTGTTCGTAGATGTGACTGAGTGGCCTGTAGGCTCCACTGAACGCTTGGAGAATGACAAAGGTCTGAGATGTGGGAGGGCGAAGGCAAGGAGGGCCGTGGGACCCACAGGATACTCGTTCAGCATGTTGACTCTGCATCATCTCCAAGATGCAAAGGCTGCAACTGCTGCAAATGAGAGTTTTCTTCAGGTAGCAGAGAGGGGGCTGTTGGTATTGAAATCCATTATGCCTTGTGTGGAACCCGAGTTCTCCTCTGAGTGTTGGGTCAGATAGAATAATTTTTTAAAGACTTATTTCTTGATGCCGGCGCAGTAGTCTAGTGGCTAAAGTGCTTTCCTTGCATGCGCAAGCATCCCATATGACATGTGACAGTTGTTCTTTTTAACCAGCCACATGTGTAAATATACAGTAACGCTGACAGAGCACTCACATGAGTCAGACACTCAGCTAAGCCCTTTCCAGTTGTCTCCTTTAGTCATACCTATGAGAAAGTACAAATGTTGCACTTGTTTCAGCAAAGGGGAAACAGAAACTTTGAGCATTAGCTAACTAGCCAGAGGGTACCAGGCCCTGGAACAAAGTGGCTGAGGGTCAGAAACAGGTGGTAAGGTGGCAGAAGAGGTGGCCTTCTTAGTGTATGCCAACACAGGCAGGTACCATCTGGGATTTGCCGAGGTGAGGCCAAGGCAAGAGGCTCTCCAAACAGCTTCCCACCTCACCTCTTACCACAGCATCTGGCATTTAATAAAAATTGCAATTTGTTTGCAGCTTCTGAAAGTCAACATTTTATATTCAGAGCAGTTCTGAAACCTTCTAAGCCATCTCATATGAAAGGGAAATTATTCCACAAAAAGGTCAGGGGCTGAGGATCTCCATACAGATGGGTTAAAAATGGAGAGACTCAATTGTAGGCATGAAAAAATGGCAACTTGAAAATAATGAAATGGGCATTCATGGAAACACAGCTTGATGTAACACAGGTATCTTCCAGGGTTGGCGCATTGGCTCAACTGGCCAATCCTCTACCTCCAAATGCTGGCATCCCATATGGGCACTGGTTCATGTCCCAGCTGCTCCACTTCCCATCCAGCTCCCTGCTTATGGCCTGGGAAAGCAGTATAGAATGGCCCAAGCCCTTGGGACTTTATTTTGGAGTGAGACGTGGTCCTGAGACAAGGTAGTGTAATGGAAAGCCATATGGATGCTCAGACTTGAGAGTTCTTATTCTTTGTAGTGAGTTACTGTTTCTAGCACCTGTGCAGTGTGTGCGCCCTGTGTACTATCTCATTCACTCTTCCCAGCAAGCCTGTGAGATATCATGTGTGCCTGTTTTACCGATGAGGAACACCAGGGCTAGAGATGCCTGTGAGCTATCCTAAGCTTACTGAGAGAGCCAGAGATAGAGATGGGATTCAAATCCATGCTGCGTGACGCTGGAGTCTGCACTTTATTGACCCTTGATCTTTTTGAGGCAAATTCACTGGGAGAAATTTGAACAAAAGTGTTGAGCATTCCGAGAACAGGCCCAGGGCATTCATATAGTCCAGTGTCAAGGGAGACCCCTGGGCAAGGGGGTCAAGTAAGAGTGTAAAAACTACTGAGCTTGGACCATGTGCCTGAAACCAAATGATGAATGTGTCAGATCAAGAGATGAGAACAGCACCTTTTAGGGTGTGGTGGGTTAAGGCACTGTTGGTGACACCAGTATCCCGGGTGATTCCCTGCTGCTCCACTTCTACTCCAGCTTCCTGTGAATGTGCCTGGGAAAGCCGCAAATGATGACCCAAGTCTTTGGGTCCCTGTGTCCACTTGGGAGACCTGGATGAAGCTCCCGGCACCTGGCTTTTCCCTAGCCCACTCCTGGCTGTTGGGGCCATTTGGGGGAGTGAACCA